ACACAGATGTACAGAAGCTGTGGTTTTTCTATTAGTCACATATGTATATGAGAGTTGGACCATAAAGAAAGCTGAGCACTGAAGAGCTGATGCTTTTGAACTGTGGTGTTGGAGAAGACTCTTGAGAGTCCCTGGACTGCAAGGAGATCCAACCAGTCCATCGTAAAGGAGATCAGTCCTGAATATTCATTGGAAGGACAGACTGAAACTGAAGCTCCAATAGTTTGGCCACCTGATACGAAGTGCGGACTCATTGGAAAAGACCCTGATTCTGGGAAAGATTGAGGGCAAGAAGAGAAGAGTACAGCAGAGAATGAGACAGTTAGAAAGCATAACTGCTCATTTTATCACTGAGTGCTAATTATTCCTCAATAAAACAGCAGGAGAAATGTATTATTGTTATTGTTTAGTTGCTAAGTCCCGTCTGCCTCTTTTGTGAAGCCATGCATTAAGCAGCTGAGGGTAAGGAGAGGCAGCCCTTTCACCTAAACATCCAAAGGTCGCCTAATCCCACCAAGAAATTCACCAGCCTCACCCCTAATACGCCCCCATCAGTACTCCGAAATAGTTAGGGGACCTGGAAAAGTTCCCCACTGGCCGACTGATGGGACTTCCCTACTCTATCACATGAGCGCACCTCACACTGTGTGAGTGTGCTCAGTCACACTCATGTTCAGCTCTGCGACCCGCTGTGCTGTCGCCCACCAGGCTCCTCTGTCCACGGAGTTTTCCAGGCAAGAATCCTGGAGCAGATCTCCATTTCCCTCTTCAGGGAATCTTCCCAAACCAGGGATAGAACCAGGGTCTCTTGGGTCTTCTTGCATTGGCCACTTTACCACTGAGCCACCAGGGAAGCTCCTGAAAAATGTGTTACTTTTAAATGAATCAATAAAGTACAAACAATATACATTTAAATAATTCTCAACTTCGTGTGATAATGTAAGGAGCCTGTGGAAAGGACTTCCACACTAGGAGAGAAAAGTTTACAGTTTATCAAAATAAGTGAAATAACTTTATAAAATTAATTCATTTATTTTAATTGGAGGCTAATTACTTTACAATACTGTGGTGGTTTTTGCCATTTAAAAAAAAAAAAAAAATCTATACCTCCTTATTCATCCCCCNAAAAAAAAAGAGAGAATAATATGTACACAGCTCCACAGCCCTTATGGGACTTTATGCTATGAATTGTTATGGGCATGCTGGATGGACACCAGGAATGATTTCTATTCAAGTTGACTTCAAAATATAGTGAAAAACTCGGTATTTCCTGTTTGAATTATTTATTAGTCATGCTGGCTAAAATGCTCATAGACCTTTTTCAGTTGGAATTTGCTTCCTTGTAAAGTGTTTTAGATATCACAATAAAGTTTGATTTTTGTTTCAAAATTTATATGCAAACCACAAATAGCCTCACATATTTCATGACAATTAAGTAAGGCTAGCAATTATTATAATAATTGAACTAATACTTTATAAGAAAGCATAATTATGAAGTAAAGGCAGCTATTAATCTGTATACAATTTCGAAAATTAGGTAATAAGTTTAAGCATATGATTTTAAATCATTTTAATTTTATATATTTTTCTATGAATATATTAGTTATAAACAAAGATATATTTACTAAGAAAAGGATAATAAATGGTAATATTAATTGTATTCCCATGAAAGTTTAGCTTATATACATATCCATTAAAGTAATATTTATAGAATTTTTACTGTTGAAAAGATTCTATAATGATGAAAAAGAATATATTCAAGGCAACAAAAAAGAAGAAATAATTTTTTACAAACATACAAAAAGAAGAAATTTTACATACTGGTTTTCTCTATAATTAATGCTATGAAAGTCTAGCTAACTTTATGGTAAAACTCTACACCAAATAAGAATGCATAAAAAAAGAGTGGTAATGTAACTTGTGTTATTGAAATAATATCTTTCTCCAAAACACTTAACTGGCTCCAAACAAAATCTATAAAATTATAATTTAGGTCATACAAAGTTATAAATAAATTATTGTATGGAAATAACATGAAAATGTTTTATGATTTTTATCATATAAATTAAGGATCAATGAAACATTCCTGTAAAGGGTCAGATACTTAATATTTTGGGGCTTACAGGCCACATACGATCTGTCATATAATCAGTTAAAACATATAGAAACATTCTTGTCTTGAGGTCTGTACATAAACATATGGATTGAGTCCACAGGCCATAACTTACTGATCCTTGATATAGATCATTAATAACCATACTATATCATAAAAATGCTAGCATAGTTATTTTAAAAGTTCAAATCTTTTCTTTTTACAATTGCCAAATTAAATTCTGTTCCTGTTTATTATCACACATACCGATGCCAAGGGTGCTTGTCAGGCAGTTCTCATCAATATGAAGGAGAGTGGCTCTCTTTTTTCCTCCCTCCTGACTATTCACTCAAACCCACTTACTCCTCAAGGATGAGGTCCTTATTAGAGTTACTTTAAAGTTAAACTCAGCCACCCAGAAATCATTATGCTCTTGACAATTCTTAGATCTGTGTGCTAATCATAAGAATACAGAATTAAGTCCTTCAGAACTGGTTGTGTCTTGTAAAACACACAGAATGTCTTTTTAAAGGAGAGATAAAGAGCTATACTAAAACAAAAGGCCTGTGTTTTCTCTTTCTGGAATTTCTTCTTTCGATCCCTGAACCTGCAATTCAGACCAGCCACCAGTATATAGAAACATTTGTATGAAGGCAACATGGATGTTTTCAAGATTAAATAGCTACACTGCATGCCCGTTGAGTATATATTCATATTTGTGTGTGTGTGTGTGTGTTTATACTTGCCAACCTCTTAGAAGTTTAAAATCAAGTAATTTCTAATTTTATCCATGTAGTAGGCTACAGCAAAACTCAAAATCTTCAGAGAAATAAATTTTGCTTTAGATCTAAGGAATTTCAATGGTTGAGAAAATTTCAAGCTGGTTATATATTGCAGTTATATTAATAAATCCATTTTTTTTCCTTGAAGTAGAGAATGACAGAGCTTCAGAAGAGTTCCTTAAGGTGTTTTGTTTTTAATAGAGGCCAAGATATATGGATTCTAAATGCTCTTTCTTAAAAATAATTTAATTACTCGCTTGTCCTCTGGACAAAGTTCAAACTTCTAAACATGGTTTGTACTGGGGAATTCCTCTTTAAACTAACAGTTGATTTGAGCTTGTACATTTTGCCCCCTCTCCCCTTTCTCAAAGGTTGTCCTTGATATTAATCTCCCTGCCCCTCATTTTTTTTTTTTAATTAAGTTTAGCTGATTTATAATATTGTTTTAATTTTAGGTGTACAGCAAAGTGATTCAGTTATGCATACATATTTTTTTCAGGATATTTTCCATTATAGGCTATTACAAGATTCTGTACATCTTCTGTTATATAGCGAATTCTCGTTGCTCATCAATTTTATATAGTAGTTTGTATCTGATAATGCCATGCTCCTAATTTATCCCCCGCCACCCTGACTCCCTTTCCTCTTTGGTAACTCTAAGTTTGTCTCCTATGTCTGTGCTTCTGTTTCTGTTTTGTATATACATTCATTTGTATTATTTCAGATTTCACATATAAGTGAAATCATAAAATATTTATCCTTCTCTGTCCTCTCTGTCTTCTTTATCCTACTTCACTTAGTATGATATTCTCTAGGTCCATTCATGTTGCTGCAAATGTCAATTTTTTATGACTGAGTAATAATACCCCACTGTATGTGTGTGTGTATATATATATATATACCACATCATAAATCTGTTGACTGGCACTTGGGTTCCTGTCATGTCTTGGCTACTGTAAATTAGTGCTGCCATGAACATCGGGATGCATGTACCTTTTCAGTTTAAGGGTTTTCATCCTTTCCAGATACATGCCCAGGTATGGGATTGCTGGGTCATATGGTAGTTCTAGTTTTCATTTTTAAAGGAACATCCATACTGTTTTCCATAGCGACTGCACCAATTCACATTCCCACCAACAGGGTATGAGGGTTCCCTTTTCTTTCAGAATGTATTATCTGCAGGCATTTTGATGATGTCCATTCTGACTGATGTGAAGTGATACCTTATTGTGGTTTTGATTTGCATTTCTCTAATAATTAGTGATGTTGAACATCTTTTCATGTGCCTCTTGGCCATCTGTATGTCTTCTTTGGAGAAATGTCTTATAAGGTTTTCTGCTCATTTTTGATTGGGTTGTTTGTACATTTTGGATATTAAATCTTTGTTGATCAAGTCATCTGCAAACATTTTCTCCCATTCCACTGATTGCCTTTTTGTTTTCTTTATGGTTTCCTTTGCTGTGCAAAAGCTTTTAAGCTTGATTAGGTCTTATTTGTTTATTTTTGCTTTTATTTCTTTTGCCTTGAGAGCCCCTTTTCCCTGTCTTAAATGTGGTCTTGTATTTCTATATATGATCTTCCACTATCACCTTCTTGCCTCAAGCTTCACTTTTGCCTTGTTTAGGTCAGTGTCAAACCACACTGCCCTCCATGTTCCCAGGTCTGAGACCTCCGGTTGCTGCCATTCCCACGGCCGCTATCAATGCTCCTGGCTGACTCAAGGTCTCAGGATGTGGCTTTGAAATACCAGCACTTGGGACATTGGGGCATGGGGGTGGGCTCAGTAGGAACAGGAACTGTTAACCTGTTACTGCTTCTCTGGCATACATGAGCATAGCAGAACTGGAGAGTCAACGAAAATGGCTACATAGCAAGTGGAATCTTCCGAATGCCACAGACTAATGTGGAAATAGAAAATCCCGCAGCTCACCAGGGTGTTCTCCTTGATAGGGCTGAATGAGGAAGATTTCTGCAAGGGGTGTTTGCCAGGGTCAGCCTACCACAGAGTGCCATTGAGTCTTCAGGACAATAGAGGACATTTTCAAACCCAAAGCGCCAGTGCTTTCGGTGTATTTACACTGACATCACTTGTGCAAACGCCCAGCGATCCGTGGCTGCTCCCCTACCTTGTGCAGCTGGTAATACTGGGAGGAACCCACTCCACCTTGCTCCTCCGCCGTCCAGAGCACCAAACGCAGAGTTCTCTTTGGACGCAGCCCTGGGAATAATAATAAAATAAGTGATTCTTCAGTTGGTTTTGAATTTAAAAAAAAAATAGCAGGGCCCCTCATCTGAATTCTGCAGGAAGGAATGAGAGGCATGCCCTTTCATCTCTTGCTGGTGTGGCTGCCTGATTCACGGTGTGGCTGACCCAGCAGAGGGTCAGGACCCTCAGGGCCAATCTCCAGGGCAGGTTAATGACGAAAGGGATTGTGACGAATGCTGTCTGCAGCCCAGGGAGTGAGAGCCTCTATTCATATTTTTAACTGGACAGCGTACCCGGTAGGACACAATTGATGGCCAAGTTCACTGGGCTACTAGAGTTCATCCAGAAGATGTAGTTAGGAAGACTCTAGGCAGATCCTGAGGCCTTCCTTCCCATGATTAACTAAAACCCAGTGATTAGTCTCTACTTCAAGATAAGGTATGTAAGGGGTTGCTTCTTAGTCTAAATCCACAAGTATAGCCAACTGCCATGCTATCCTTAGTAATGAATGATCACAAAGAAAACACAATGCTGCATTCATTGACTTGGGAAATACAAACTTACATCCTGCAGTCCTTGAAGTTACTGGCAGATCTGGCATATTTAGAACCATTTTTGAGTGATGGTGTCAGCTCCATAAAAGTTAACTACAAAGGTCAAATAGTAGGATGGGAGTTCCATTTTTTGACCAAGACTGGAAACTTGTTTCTGATTTGGACCTGATGATGTTGTTTCTGAGAAATAATAAGTGCAGAAAAACATGAAACGGGGCTTAAACCTTATTAAGAAGACCTTTCCTCTTGCCTCACTGCAGGGAAGCCATAGGGAAGGACTATGAATGGCTCCGAGACGGACACAAAACAAACATCAAATATGGCTACCCAGTGCTGCCACCCAGGCACATGGCCTTCTTGAAGGGAGCAGCCTGGGTGACTGCAGCCTGGATGATAAGTGCTCCTGGGAAATGGAGCTCTGTTCCTCCTCCTCTGGACACCGACAGGCATTCTCCTTGCGTAAGTCTAATGCTAAGGTACTGAAAAGGAGCTAAGCTTTTTACTAAATGAAACACTGTGAAATGACTTTACACTTGAGCAATTTTGACATCAAACAGCACAGGCTGTTGAGTTCCAACTGTTGAGTTGAGTTGAAACAGGCTGACCTTAGTTCCAATTGAAGCCCAGAAAAGCAATTTCCACATCCAGTTGTTCAGCCGATCCCATTGGTGTTTCTGCTAAGTCTATCTAGAATCCAACCTTTCACCTCTGTTCCCATGCTGGCCCAAGCCCCACCCATTTTTGTCTGGCCTGTTGCAGTCGCCTCTAAGCTGGGCTCCCTGCCACAACCCACATCCCTCTGCAGGTGAGGTCTGCACTGCAGTCAGCAGGCCCCTTGTGGAACATATACCAGAGCACGTCATTTCTCTGTTCAAGACCTCCAAGAGCCACAGTGTAAGCTTCTGGTTCAAGGTGATGCCGCCAGTGCCTAGACTGTTCGGCACACGTATTTGGTGCCCAATAAATAGGTACCAAACGAATAAATAAATCCAAGGTGTGGTGTCTTAGAGTAAAATTCAAAGCTCTCTATCACTATCCCAGCCTCATCTCCTAAAACTTTCCTGCTAGTTCATTTTCCAGGCAAAGTATTACAGTTGAAAAATGTGGACAGATCTGCTAAGCCCCGCTATCAACAAGCACCAGCTGTGTAACCACTGAGACATTTTTCCACCTGAACTTCAGCTTCCTTATCTGAAGAGTGGAGGGAATATTACATGTTCATAACATAACAATTTCCCAGGGTGGCTGTGAGGATGAAACAAGATGTGATGATGTATGTAAGACACTCTGTATCTGGCATGTGGCAGACAGTCAGTGAACGAATTATAAAACTACATAATGGATAGCCGGGCACAGAGCATATGCTTTTACCCAGAGAGAGAAGGAGCATCTAAACACTCAGTACAGACAATCTTCCAAAGTCATTCAAGTCCCTGCTGAAGAAGAATCCTGAAGGGCCCGCTGCCTGCTCCACAAACTGCCTACTCACCTTCATAGCACAAAGTGTTGTTGGAGAAAGAAACCTAATCAGTCTATCTAAAGATCACAATCATTGGCTCCTCCAACAGAAATGTGCTTAATGTCAATTTCAACCAAATGACATTTTGCTTGCAACATAGAAAAAAGTAAAAGAAAAAAGGATAAGTGCTGCAAATGAAAATTCTGAATCTTTTTTTAAACCCATAAAAAAGGGGAAAAAAACTTTCTGTTTACATATCTCTGCCTTTACCAGCGAAACAGTACCAAATTATTAAAATGATGGAATTCTCTAAATAAGGATCAAGTGACAGTTTAGCACGAGTTAGAGAAAAATTAATATTTCAAAGCAAATGCTCTGAATATTCCCATAGACTTGGTGTTCTAACTTGCAAATCATTGCTGTACGGGATTAGTCTCCCTCACATTTCAAATCAGCCAGGTGGCCAGTGATGTTCCATTAAGATAACAAAACAGTGGTCTGTTTGAAGTGATGAGAGCTAAAACCTGCAAACAACAACAGCATAGTCAGTGCACAGCTGACCCTGAGGAGACAAAGAGAGTCCCCCAGCCCCACTCAGTCCTGGAGAAATTCAGTCCCCCTTCTACTCCACAGTCAAGGTGAAGGCCCAACAGAAGAGGTTAGGAAACCGGCGGTTAAGCAGATACCTACTGGGCTGCAAAGTCCCTTTTCTGCTCTGACCTTTCGATTGCCCCCAGAACCTAAGAGAAAGGGACTTCACTCAGCCCTAGACCCTGCCTCTAGCCTGGAGTTTGGGCTCCTAGGCCACCTGAGGCCACAGACGGTCAGTGTGGGGGATGGAGAGGTGCTGGCTGCGGGATCTCAATAAACTCGGGGTCCCTGCTCTGCCCCTTCTGGCTCTGTGACTTTAGAGGACTTGCCCAATCTCTCTGAGCCTCGGTTTCTTCATCTACACAGTAAGGAAAAGGGTAATTGCCTCATGGCCTTGTTAAGAAAATTAAATGAGACCAGGCATTTAAGTAAATATGAATCACAGTTCCTGGCACACAGTAGGCTTTCAAGAATCGTGTGTTAGCTTCCCTCTACATCACTCCACGAACTTCAGCCTGTGCCAGTGATTTCCAGGGAGCGCCTGCGAGAGAACAAGGAAAGAGGCATCTTCCTCGTTCCTCTTCCCTAGGAGCCACAGGACATCTTTGTTTACACAGAATGCACTAGCAGCCAAGGGGAAGATACAAGTTTCATCTACTTGTGGAAAAACACAGAATCTCTTTCAGCTTGTGGAAAAACACATATTCAGTGGAATATGCCCTCATTCCAACACAGAGCGTGTCTACCTCCAAGTAAACAGAAGTTGTTTCCTCGCTTTAAAAACTGAAGACAATCAGAATTTTCAGTTTCTGGATAAAGCAAAAAACAAATACAAAAACAAAAAACAAACCACAACACAATAAATCTGAAAGCTGAGTGACGTTGATACAAGGGATGTCTATATTTATCATTTTTAAATAACAGAATTTCTTATGTATCTCAAATTCAAACTGGTTTTAAAAGCTGGGAATTTTAAGTATATAAAGTAACAAAAATACTAACAACAATAGTAAAGCACTAATACTGACAGCAACACAGCAAAGTGATTCAAGGTCCAGGGCAGGGCTCTCCTCTTGCAGCAGAACTAGGGTAAATGAAGAGCTCCGCAGGAGTCTTAGCTCACAGCTCTGGCCCTGGCTCAGTGGTTCACAGCGCCAGACTAAGGCAAGCACAGGAAATAAGTCTTTGAGCTGAGAGGAAGGACTCTGGGCTGAGCAGGCTCGGAGTCAGGTCTCATCAAGGTTTTCTCAAAAGATAAGCAATTAGTTCCCCCATAAATGTAACAAAACCTGCCCAGAGATCTCTTGACCTCCTGGAATTTTTAATTAAGAACTTCAGAGAGTACAAGAAACATTATATGGCATTACAGCTTTCCTTTAAGAGAACACAGACTATGGCTAATATGTCAGAATTTTGCCTTTGTTTACGAACTATGACGTACATGCACTTCACTTTCATTTTATTGAGGAGAGTAATAACACTACTGGGAAAACAGTGTCTATGAGGAAGGGTGAAAATAATCTGGCAGTAGTTTATTTTTTATTGTTATCAAATTTAAAAATAAGAGGCTGATAAATTGGGAAGGTCAACTGACTGTCCTACACTTGGCTGAGGAGTGAGCCAAAGTTGGATTAATCTACCCTTGGAGATAGATTTCCCAAATTATGAATTCTAAAGAACACTATTTATAAGCAAAGTGTATTAACCCAAATGCCTGTTTACTACTCCGCTTCAATCCTACCGAAACTATGTAAATAGTCTTCTCTGGTCTGAGACCTAATTTTGCAGCATGCGTGCGTGCTAAGTCACTTCAGTAATGTCCAATTCTTTGCGATCCCATGGACTGCAGCCCCCCAGGCTCTTCTGTCCATAGGATTCTCCAGGCCTGAATACTAGAGTGCTTTGCCATTCCCTCCTCCAGGGGATCTTCCCAACCCAGGGATCATACCTGTGTCTATTATGTCTCCTGCATTGGCAGGCAGCTTCTTTACCACTAACAGCACCTGAGAATCCCAAATTTTGCAGAGAAAACACAATTTTCTCTTACAGTAAATATACTCAGTTTCTACATATATGCAGGTTTAGATCATAAATACACTTGTCATCCAGTTCCCCTTTATCAACAATTCAGTATCTGCGTTTAGAGATGTCTAATTCTCAGTGTTAAAGAATAAGTTTGCCAATGCAAGTGACTCAGGTTTGATCCTTGGGTCAAGAAGATTCTTTGGACGAGGAAATGGCAACCAACTCCATTATTCTTGCTTGGAAAATCCCATGGATGGAAGAGCCTAGTGGGCTGCAGTCCATGGGGTTGCAAAGAGTTGGCCATGAATGCATCTATTATGCAATTCTGTAATAAACTTGACTAGTATAAGTATAGTATCTAAATTAAACATTAAATAATGACA